TGACGTAATGACATATTGAAATTAGATGTTTCTTGAACGATACTTAACTTCTGGAAACAGGGAGCTTTGTGCCTATAAAAAATTACTCCCATTAGCCTTGTTTCTATAGACACAAGAGTTCAGGTGTGGATGCATCTAGCAGTCAGTGGGAGTCTGGGAGAGCAAGAAGCACGAAAAAGCCATCACTAACTTTATATTAGTTAATTAATATAGATTATTAATCAAAATTTAAAGGGACACATGCACGGAAGCACGTCATCTTGAAAAACTGGCCCGTTTTTCAAGATGACATCATTAATAATGACGTTTAGTATTGATAACTATTCATAACGTGCGGCTGCGCCCCTAATAATTAAGGCAAAATGGCTACTCGAGTGGCTACTTGTAAATATTCCTGGTGTTTCTTCACTAAAAAGAGTATCTTGGGGTGGCAAGAGATAATTCTGTTCGAGAGAAGTGTTCTACAGATGCCTACTCCTGGTTCTGCGACTGATTGCTCTGTCTCTACTCTCTACGCGTGTCTAAACACGTGTCATAACTATTAATTAATGATCTGTTGCACGCCCAATTTAATGTTTACTTCCTCTACAGTAACGTGTGCATTCTATTTCCGTGAACGTGTCCCTTTAACCCCAAGGATTGGTTGGATCAAAGCTCCAAAACTTATCACATCAAGAAATCAAGGCCTTCAAACTTACCAGATCAAGGGATCAAGCAGTTATTTTCCGAATCAAAATTTTTGATCCCGGTCGCAAACATCAGTACAGGCTATATGCAAGTGACACCCCCTTGCACTACATGTACATGTACATGTAGTATACAAGTTTAGTAGCACATTGTGTGATTGTGTGTTAGCTTGAAGAACAGTAATGGCATCACCATTAGTGATATCACTCCAAAGCTCTCTGCTGTTTCCATTTATTATGAACAATTCACAGAGTTAGTGTTTATTAGATGCAATAGTAAATTAACTATAATTGTAATTTTACTTTATTTTTACACTTATTGAATATCTAGTACTTATTAATGTAATTAAGCACTCTGGAGAATGCTTGTTTTTGTACTTAAGCACTTATGTTAAAGCTATAGATTTTGCTTGTGCTGGTACTCCTAACACATTTAAGTGCTTGTGTTTGTGTTTAAGCACATTACCTAGTGCTTGACCCCATGTCTGGCTATAGTACAGGGAAATTTTCAGAAATCGGCTCATTTTAAAAATGGCCGTAACTTGAAAAATTGAAGTCGGAATCAGCTCAAACTTTCTACACAGCATAAGGACGTCAATATATATCAGAAAATGTAATAAAAATTGGGGGTGATTTCAGAGCCATTTTTTGGGAAAAACCATGGGCTATAGTACAGGGAAATTTTTAGAAATTGGCTCATTTTAAAAATGGCCGTAACTTAAAGAATTGAAGTCGGAATCAGTTCAAACTTTCTACACAGCATAAGGACATCAATATGCATCAGAAAATGTAATAAAAATTGGGGGTGATTTCAGAGCCATTTTTTGGGAAAAACCATGGGCTATAGTACAGGGAAATTTTTAGAAATTGGCTCATTTTAAAAATGGCCGTAACTTAAAGAATTGAAGTCGGAATCAGTTCAAACTTTCTACACAGCATAAGGACATCAATATGCATCAGAAAATGTAATAAAAATTGGGGGTGATTTCAGAGCCATTTTTTGGAAAAAACCATGGGCTATAGTACAGGGAAATTTTCAGAAATTGGCTCATTTTAAAAATGGCCGTAACTTGAAGAATTGAAGTTGAAATCAGTTCAAACTTTCTACACAGCATAAGGACATCAATATGCATCAGAAAATGTAATAAAAATTGGGGTGATTTCAGAGCCATTTTTTGGAAAAAACCATGGGCTATAGTACAGGGAAATTTTCAGAAATTGGCTCATTTTAAAAATGGCCGTAACTTGAAGAATTGAAGTTGAAATCAGTTCAAACTTTCTAGACAGCATAAGGACATCAATATGCATCAGAAAATGTAATAAAAATTGAAGGTGATTTTGGAGCCATTTTTTGGAAAAACCATGGGCTATGTACAGGCTTTTTGGGCAAATTTTAAAGCAACTTTAGAAAATTTCCTAAAAATCTAATTTTGACTGGAATCACATTAAACTTTCTGCATACCATAAAAAGATGTACATGCATTAGTTAATGAAATAAAAATTGCTTTGGGTACATAAGAACTCACCTGAGCCATTTCACTCAACCAAGTCTTCCTAAGATCAGACTTACGAGCAAAACGTTCCGCCAACCTTTCCAGTTTTTCTTGCCTATAAATAAAATCAATAACATCTCCTCGTGTTGGAAGTGATACCGTATTATTTCTTTTCTCAGTGATACCTCACGCTCGTGCTCAGCACTGTCGAGATTAATCCAAGCTTGAGTTATATCTGATACCAGTTTCCCTTCAGGTGGGTACCAGTTCTTCTGATGTATAGACCTCAGTTTCATCTGAACGTTAAACAGCTGGACTTCTAGATTAGTCCTCTCAGCATACCTAAATATAAAAAAAATTCCATGTCATTTTAAAAAGCATTATTTTACTTTAATGGTTTCTCTTTCGTCCTGTATGTTTTGAAGGCTATCATTAACTGGTGCATCCCTTCCAGAGTGTTCGGAAACCTCTTGTCACTGAGTTTCAGTATAGTATCTTCAATCCATTTCAATAGATCGCTAGTCTGGATTAGATATCT